CCCTCTCTGGTCCCAGCAGCTGTGAAAATGGTGCAACGGGTGGCTCGGGGGACACTTCTGGAACAGAGTTGGGGGAACAGGAGATGCTGTGGGCATTGGACAGGAGGGGCTGTGGTCCCAGTCCAGTAGAAAGGGCATGTTTGTACTGCAAAGCAGAACCTCAGCATCTTGGTCTACATCCTGCACTGTCCAGGACAGTTGCTGCTAGTCACATGAGGCTTTTGAGTACTTAAAATATGAATTCTGGTACTGAGAAACTAAATTTTAAAAATTTAAATTAATTTAAATTTAATTTGAAAAACAATTACAACCTGCCAACAGGGAGGAAGGAAAAACTATGAAAAGGCAGACCCAAGGATTCAAAAGTTATTGGGAAACTTTTAAGTATGTTTGGAGCAATGTGACTATGTCAATTTACTTTTACAACTATAAATTTTATGAGCTCTAGATACTGATCAAGTATTTGAGGAAAATCTGGCATCTGAATTGAGATGTGCTGTAAGTGTAAAATACACACTAGAGTTTGAAGACATGGTCTGGGAAAATGTAAAATATCTCAATAATTTAAAAATATTTATTACGTATTGAAATAATATTTGGATATACTGGATTAAATAAAATACTAAAGTTAACTTTACCTGTTTCTGTTTGCTTTTTAAAACGTGGCTTCTAGAAAACTTAAAATTGCATATGTGACTCACATTATATTGGACAGTGCACATCTAGAGACTTCTCTGACTCTTGTTCAGGATTGAGGCTGTTACATAATTTTATGTGGTTGAGCTTGCTATTTATTGGACACTTACACGTGCCAGACTCTGTGCTAAGACCTTTACATGTTTTTAGTCCTCCCAAGAGCCCTATGAGCTAGGTACTATGACCCTCATTTTAAGTAGAAGGTTGCTGAACTTCAGAGAGGTGAAGTAACTTGCTCAAGGTCACACAGCTGTAGGCTCACACAGCTAATAGCAGAGCTGGGACCCTAGAATTGGACAGGTCTAGGTTAAAGCCTTCCTCCCAACCATGATGTCACATTGCCTCACTGCAACATGATGAGTTAAATGCCCACCTTGGGGCTCCAAATCCCAGAGCAGGGACATGGTTAGCAAGCGGGAATGAGGACCACGAGCATCCATGGGAGACCATGCCATTGGGTTTGCTGTGCCTGTGCCTGTGGTTCTCCTTGGAGGCCGTCACTTTGGAGAGGAGGTGAGCCCTGGGCATACATGGGGAGCATCACCACCCTGCTCTGATGGGTGAGAGGGCATCTGGGGGCACAGAGTCCAATTCCAGCTGCAGCCTTGTCCCATTTTGTGGCAAAGTGCTTTCACCAACATCATGAGCTGACAGTGCCAACAGAATTGTCATCCACTTCACAGATGAGCAAGCTGAACCTCAGGCAAAATTACATACTTGAACTTACAACCAGAACTGGAACTAGAATCCAGGGTCTGATTCCAAATTCAGAGTTCTTTCTACCAACTAAACTGGGCTCCCTCCAGAGGTCCAGTGAAAGGTATCATAGGCCTTGTGTGCTTTGGAGGAAAGTCCCAGAATATCACTTTCAGAGTGACAGAAATACTTCCATGAGGACTTTCTTTTGGGTAAGTTGGCCTTTGAGTGAGAGGGTTTCTGAGGTCTTCTGACTGGGTGAAGGGAAATGGTAATGTAGCTATGCAGGCCCTGGTCACGGTGACAAGTGGGTGAGGCAGGGCTGCTCAGATGGGAAAGGATACAGTGGTGGAGTAGGCCACTTTCAGATCCATGGTTTAAAAATGTAATGACGTGTGTTTTCTACATAGTTATGGGGTGCATTGGGACATTTTGATACATGTATACATTGTGTAATAATCAAATAGGATAATTAGCCTATCTCAATCATTTATCATTTCTTCATGTTGGAAAAGTACACAATCCTCTCTTGTAGCTATTTGATATATATAATACCTTGTCGTTGACGATAGTCACTCTACCCTGCAATAGGATGCCAGAACGTCTTCCTTTCTAACAGTGACTTTGTACCGGTTGACCATCCTTTCTGCGTTCTTTCTCTGGCTTCCCTCGCCAGGCTGTGGTAACCACTGTTCTGCTCTCTTCTCTGTACGATCAACTCTTTCAGATTCTGCATATGACAGAGATCATGTAGCATTTGCTTTTCTGTGTCTGGTTTATTTCACTTAACATCGAGTCCTCCGGGTTCATCCATGTTGTCACAGAGGATAGGATTTTAATCTTTTTAATGGCTGACTCCTATTCCATTGTGTGTATATATATATATATATATACACACCACATTTTCTTTATCCATTTATTTATTGTTGGACACTTAGGCTGATTTCATATGTTGGTTACTGAGAATAGTGCTCAGTCCATGTGTGAGTGCAGATACCTCTTTGACAAACTGATATCTTTTCCTTCAGGTATGTACCCAGCAGTGGGATTGCTGGATCACATGGTAGTTCTGTTTTTTATTTTTGAGAAACTTCCATACTGTTGTCCATAGTGACTGTACTAATTTACATTTTGACCAACAGTGTGTTAGGATTCCCTTTGCTCCATATTTTTGCTGACACTTGTTATCTTTTGTCTTTTTGAGAGTAGCCTTTCTAATTTGAGGCGGTATCTCATCATTGCTTTGATTTGCGTTTCTCTGATGATTAATGATGTTAAGCTTTTTGTCACATATCTGTTAGCTATTTTGTATGGCTTCTTTTGAGAAATGACTATTGACGCATTTCTTTTGCCCATTTTCGAATTGGGTTGTTTTGTTTTATTGAGTCGAGTTCCTTATGTATTCTGGTGATTAACCCTTGTTAGATGTATAGTTTGCAAATATCTTCTTCCATTGTGTAGACTGTCTCTTTGCTTCGTTGTCTGTTTTTGCTATGTAGGAGTTTTTTAGTCTGATGCAATACCATGTGTCTATTTTTGCTTTTGTTGCCTGTGCTCTTGAAGTCTTATCAAAAAACATCCTTGCCCAGTCCAACGTCATGAAGCATTTCTCCTATGTTTTCTTCCAGTAGTTTCAAAGTTTTGGGTCTTACATTTAAGTCTTTAATCTATTTTGAGCTGACTTTTGTGTATGAGATAAGGACCTAATTTAATTCTTCTACATGTAGATGACCAGTCATCCTAACACCATTAATTGAAGAGACTATCCTTTCCCAAATGTGTATTCTTCGCACCTTCATCAAAAATCATTTGGCTATAGATGCATGGATTTCTGGGCTTTCTATTGTGTTCCATTGGTCTGTATGTCTGTTTTTTATGCCAATATTATATTGTTTGGTGACTATAGCTTTGTCATATATTTTAAAGTCAGACAGTGTGATGCCCACAGCTCCCTGCTCACTGCCCCTGCCTCAGGATTGCTTTGGTTATTCAGGATCCATGTTTAGCTTTCACTCTACCATCACTGACACTGAAAAATCTCTTTCCAAAGGGCCCCTAATTTTCTCCTGAAGCCTCAAAACAGAGGGCTGCCAAGTAGGACATACTTGGAGAAAGATTTGGGGCTTACCTGGGTCTTGTCTCTCTGTTCAAGTGTCTTTTGGAGCCCGGGCTGTGTCCTGGCACCCCCATTTACTACCTGTGAAGGGTAGTTGCTTTACCTTTCTGAACTTCAGTTTTTGCATCTGTAAAGTGGGACTTCACCTTGCAGCGTGAGTCTTACATTTGGGTCTTGCAAGGGACTTTACCTTGCAGAGTGAGGATTGTTAGCACAGAGCATGTGAAATGCGTGGCATCCAGCCTGGCAGCTGGTGGTACAGTGAACATTTGGGAATCAGTTGCATACAGACACCTGAGAGTTCTTTGGGACCCTCCTTGTTTCTCCATGGGAAGCTGTTGGCCCAGGAGAAAGGGCAGAGCAGCAGTCATGAGGGAGGCACATGCATGGGCGAGGATGCACCTTCTGCTCAAGCGACTTCTGGGCTCTGCCTGGAAGGGCCTTTGGATGCCTGGTGACCATGGAGATGGGGGAAAAGAGGGAGGCAGGGGCTCTGCAAAGTCATGCTCAGTAGCAGCCTGGCACAGACAATGATCAGCATCCCCGCCTTCTCTTGCAAGGCTGGCTGAGGGTTCAAGGAAGCAGGCTTGGGGCACTCCAAACCTTAAGGTTTTCTGGCAGAGCTGGCCAGGTTCTCTACCTTGAAGGCAGGCTGGCTGGAATAATGAAGATCTCCATAGGTGCTTCCTGGGCAGAGTGTGTTTTCACAATCCAAAATTTGTATCCTCTTCTGGGAGACATGATTGCCCTTAGGGGCGTCTAGTAGACCAATAAACAAACAAACAAACAAACAAATAAATAAAATAAAATAAAGGAATTCCTCATAGCTCCTGTTTGGATGGATACTTCCAAGAAAAATGTGTGGTCTAGCAAGGCAGCCCCTTGAGATGCTAATAATCGTGCATCAAGGGGGTGCCAGGCAGGCATTTTCCTGGTCGGAGCAGTGAGGCCTCTTCCCTCGAACTCGGCAAGAACAATGTCTGAATCCTTTGGATTTTTGCAGCCCTTCTCTTCCTAGCATACTAGTGGTACTGCCAAATTTTATGAAACTAAAGTACCCAAACTGGGCAAGTTGTGTACCTAGAGAAAATTCACAGTCCATTTTGTGCTTTTCAGTGAAGCTGTACCTGGCCACCAAGTAGAAAGGGCTCTTTCCCTCTGCCCTGGGGCCCAGTCACAGCGGGAGGACAGTGGGCAGACTGAGAGCTGAGGGCCCTTGTCCTTTAAGCAGCTGGCCTGGATTCGTTAAGCCCAGGCAGCTCCTTGATTCTGCCGATGGTCACTAGGCGATAAGCGGTAATGCCCAGCCCTTCCGCCTTTGAACTGAGTGTTGTGTCTCTTCCTCCTGGGAGGTGTTTCGCACTGTCAGTTCCTAGGGATTAGGTGCATGTTTAGGCTGGATGAACTCATGAATGAAAATATTTTGCTTTGTTCTTTGGGCATTGGAGACCTGCACAGTGGGCCCCTCTCTTCTCTCTCCTGTCTCTCCCAGCACCACCTGTTCAGGCCCACACTAACAACATCAGCCAAGGCCTCTACAGCAGCCCCTGAGCTGCCTTTTGATGATTTGGACAAGGCCTCTGTACTATGATGGAACCAGGTGACCCGCGGCCTCTGGGCTGGGTGAGTGCTTTCGTGATATTTTCTTCCTGGTTCATGCGATGTTCTTCAGCACACGATGGCAGAGGAGCAGCTCCAGTCTCTTCTGTGTTATGAGCAAGGGAGGGGTTGGGAGAGGAATTGGCCCTGTGTTTATGTCCTTCTCCCTGCTTTGATTCCAGTGCCATGGACTTCCTGAACGTCCTGGGGTTGTGGGTCGTGAGGTCAGGGAACTGAATCAGCCCTGTCTTCTTGGAAGAGGCAGGAGGATCAGAGTTCAAATCTTAGTGCTGCCTCCTCTTAGTTCTGTGACCTTGGAAAAGTTGTGCCCAATTTACAGATGAGGACACTGGCATCCCACATCTTCCTTGCCAAACTGCTCTGAGGCCTGTTAGTATGTGTGATGCCAAACATAGTGCCTGGCATGGAGTTGGCATTATGTCACACTGTCCTTTTCCTGCCTTGCTTACGGGCTTGGCTGGACCAGCATCCTGGACCAACACCCAACCCATGCCCCATCTTCATACCCAGAGAATGAGGAAGACCCAAAGGGGTGCTTATGGGGACTCAGTGAGATGGGTGAAGTCATCAGCGCCCAACAGAATTAACACTGAAATTGATAGGTCGATGATGTTGCTGGCTGTTTCACAGCCATGGTGGGTTCCTACCGTCGCGTGGCCCTGGTGCTCCCTGGGAGCCTGAGGTTGGTTGCCAGTCTCCAGAGGGCAGCTGTCTTGCTGCCACCTCCTGCAGGGAGTTGCTGGGTACGGCCCGTAGAGGACATAGGCTGGTGGCTACTAGGAATCTTTTCTGGAGTGTAATGGATTATATTGCTTAGTTGTAACAGGTTCAGTTGAGAATCAAAACAAGCCCTGGGCTGATGGCTGGTGACTTGGCTGGGTGGGTGAGTGGAAGTGTATGCATACACCTAGGTATGTATATGCCTCAGTGCCAACTCCTGTGTGTGTATTTTGTGAGGTGGGGGCAGGGCTGGGATTATTATTAGGGTTTTACCATCTCAACATCTGATCAATGGTTTTATCAATGAACAGTTGTTTTAAAAGTGTTATTCTGCAGAAGTACTATATATACATATTAGAAAAACTGGAAAAGTAGAGGTAACCACTGTCAACATTTTGAAGTTTTTCGTCCCCCATAAATGTGTGTTATTTTTTTCTTGCAAAATAGTATGATCCAGCTTTTTAAACGTATTCTCCTTGCTTAACGATATATCATGGTGGCCTTCTACCCTGACGCCATTGTTTGTGATGGTTGCACGGTAGGAGTGGTGGCCCATATGAATATACTATAGTGTTCAAAACCACGCTCCTGTGTTTGGACGTGTGGGTTATTTCTGAGTGTTGGTCTTCACGTCCACATTGTGACTGACATCTTTGTCCCAGCATTTCGGTGTACTTTTCTCTAAGAGAAAAGTTCAGAAGTTGAATTCTGAGGCCTAAGGGTGTCTGCGTTTTTTTAAGCTTCTGATACTTTTAGCTAAATTGCCTTTCAGAAAGTTTGTACTGAGCCAAGTCAAAGGGAAACAACTCCTTCCCCTTCTGCGTACATTCCCTAGGCCTGCCTTACTTTCTCAAGGAACAGGAGGGTGGCTGATGTGTCAAAAGACCCTTCAGGTCCCGGCAAGATCTCTGAGGTGCTGAATCCCTTTTACACATGAGGGATTGAGGCCCAGGGGACCAAGTGTATCTGCCCGAGGAGGGCCTGGGAGCCATGGCCTGGCTGAGCCAAAGGCATCACAGGGTGTGAGGGAGCCAGCTGTCTGCCCTGGGCCCAGTGACATGGGAGGCAAAGGAAAGGCCTCGGGCTGGTGGTGAGAAGAGCCAGGTAGCAGGGTGGGAGAGCTCTGGACCTTCAGTCACTGCTGGGCTTCTTCCTCAGGGGCAGGGAGCTGGCACAGTCTGGGTGGGGTACATGCCAGGGAGGGAAGTCCATTTAGAGGCTTGAGTGAGTGCCAGCCTCTCAACTCAGCTCTTCTCCAGCTCTGTCCTTCCCCTGTCCTGCCTATCAGGCTTTCGAGTGCATCACGGAGGCAGAAATGGGCTGGCACACATTGGGTTCTCCTTAGAGGCTCAAGAGAGTGCCCAGCCCAGGGGATGGTGGGGCGGGTGCCCAGAGGGCCGCCAGTCTAGATGGGCAATGGGATGGGGCCCTTATGGGACTATGGGATAGTCCAGAGGTTAGGGAATGATGTTTGAGAAAGTGCGGGCTGTGGGATCCTTCTTTTGGGTGGCTCTTATCAAGCACTAACCATGGGCTAGGAGGTAGCCCAGAAGCTGGGGATACAGCCGGGGTGCAGAGGACACACCAGTCTCTGTCCTCAGGTGGTCACAGTCCCACAGGGACATCTGACTGGGACAGGCAGGGGTGACTGATGACTGCACTGAGGCTGTGGGCGTTTGGAGGAGAACAGCTTGGGGAAGGCTTCCGGGAGGAAGGTACACCCAGCTTGAGACCTGAAGAAGCAGGGAAAAGGGGACGTGGAGGGAAGGGCACGTGGTCATGGCAGAGGGGAGAGCATAGGGAAAGGCCTGGATGTCAGTGGCAGGCTGACGAGTAGCCTCTAGCAAGCCTGCTACACTTCCCAGGGAAAGCCAGCTCTGTAAGGGTACACAGGAGGTGGACCACCCAGGAGAGAGCCCCCCAGGGTACCAGGTGGGGCAGTATTGAGGAAGCTGTGGTGTTGGCCCACCTGTGGGTGCCTCTGGTGCAATTGTGGAGTTTCTCTCCAGAGGCCGGGCCTGGCGGATCAGGTGGGGTTTGTGGGAGGTGGTGAGGTGGAAGTTACAGGGAACCTCACCGCCCTTCTCTTTATTCTGAAACATACAATCTGGATTCCCTCTGGAACGTGTCCCTCAGAAGTCTGGGAAGACCATTTCTCTTGGTTCAGAAGGTCTGTGTTCTATATCTCAATCCTCCAGGAGGCCCCGAGAGCCTCAGATGAGAGAAAGCCCAAGGCACCCTTGCTACCTGGGGAGACCTTCTTGGGGGAGGAAGGCAGGTCCCTGGCCAGCGCTGTTTCTCTCACCACGACCAGCCTGCTTTGTGAAGACGAGTTCTTTCCCCGGCACCTCCGGGAGGATGTCCTGACTTCTCACCCAGGCGCACAGGCCCTGTGGATTTGGTCTCATGCCCCACATCTCAGCCAGCACACCCACTACGTCCACGGGTCCCGCTGTCTGCCCTCCTTCTCAGGGGACACTGGTGTCCCAACCCTCCCACATCTGTGCTTATCTGGCTTCCTCTATCCAGGTCCCCATCTCTTTTATTTAAGTCCTGCTCATCTTCCCAGGTGGGCACAGATCACCTCCTCTGAGAAGCCTCCCTAGCTTTCCTAGCTCTCTTAGGCTGAGTGCAGCTCTCCTGGCTCAGGGCACCACCCTTGGTCCTGGTGGTTGTTACCACCCCACTCCCTCCCTTGCGTTGGTGCTAGTTCTGCCGGCATAGGACTGCTGGATGAGGGGCTCCTCCAGCCGGCCCATCCTTCCTGTGTGTGTCCCCACAGGGCCTGACATTTTGGCACTCTGTAGGGGCCCAGGATCCCATTTGCTGAGGCAAGGCCACATTTCCTCAAGAAGTGGCAGGAGCCGCCCAGTGGGCACCTCTCTACACCCATGAGTAAAGCAATGATGCTGCACAGTGATGCCACTTTCTGAGCATGATGTGGTTAGCAGCACAGGCTTAGAAGACAGCAGATCTCAGGGGAGGCCTGGCTCTGGCTCTGACTGGCTGTATAGCCTCAGGCAAGTCATGTAACCTTTCGGAATCTTGGTTCTCTTATCTGTTTAATGGAGACAAAAATCTGCCATACAGGAGTGTTGAGAGCATGGACAGTGTCAACCGGTGTGTCATCCTCCTAGCCCCAGGCCCCGCGTGGCCCAATCTCTGCACACTCATGCAGCCAGAAATAATTAGAAGCCTGTCTCATTATTGTGGTCTTAAAGAAAGTTGAAGGCTGGGCATCCCTGTCCTGTGCCTCAGCAGCACTCGTGAGCCCTGGCCAGTGCAGGTCCTGGCCACCCACACGTGGCCCTCAGGGCCTCTCCCCACATCCAGCTTTTCCTTGTTTCTTCTCGTGTCCCCTCCCCAGCACTTGGTTATGCATATAGACCCTGCCTCTCAACTCAGCCCTTCTCCGCTCCATCCTCCCCCTGTCCTGCCTACCAGGCTCTTGAGTGCATCACAGAGGAGGGATGGGCTGGCATCAAGTTCTCGTTAGAGTGGATGCAGGGAGGGACGGATACTCCCACGTGGGCAGATGAGTTCAGTCTCAGATGCACGAGGCCCTGGCCCATCACAAATGCTTGCTGAGAATTCAGTAAGCATTTTTGGGCTACCTACAATATGTCCCAGGCACCATGCTATGTTTCTATTCCCAGGAAACTCCGTGAGGCAGGTGATGGTAGCTTCATTTTACAGACAAGAAAATTAAAGCTTAGAGCACTCACGTTGACTGAGGTTGCATAACCCGTTTGAACATTTGTCACCCCCCTGCATGTTTACTAAGTGTCAGCTAGGTGCCAGGCTGTGTGGGGAACTCTTTGGGGAGAGAGGGCCCTTTGGAGTCCTGGGTCTGCCCTTGGGTCTGGCAGGAAGACCATTTAGATGATGAGAGAACAGACTGGAGGCAGGTGACGGGCAGATCCTAAATGTATAGGATTAAATATTTACATTAGGTAAGGATGAGGGTTAAGTGTCTCAGAGGCAGGCAAAGGGAGAGTGGAGGGAGCTGCTGCTGGGGCTGACCTGAAGAGCTTATAGAAGGGGCTGCAAGAAAGGGGACATCTAAGGGGGCTCAGAGGATCCAGCAGGGGGCTGGGGTGGACACCGGAGTCAGGCTGCATCTCTTGTGAGCTGTGTGCAAGTGTGTGGTGGCCCTAGAATGTGGAGCCACATACTTTTGTATAATTAGCTCAGCTCTTCTGCAGCAGTAGCAATTAGCTGCAGGCGGGAGACAGGACTTCCTGTGGCCAAGGCCACTTCTGCACCTGGGGCTGCTTACCTGG